CAAAGGCTACCATGAGAACCACTGGTCCTGCTTCGATGTGGACTCAGTGGTTGCTCCGATGACGTTTCTGGGAGGATTGTCAGCCCGTCCCATCATAGAGTCAATCCGAGCCGCTGTCTTCGGACCACCTCGGTCTCTTCATAGCAGCCTCCTCCTCGTCGTCGCTCTCTTCCCTGCGTCGTTTTGTGGAGGAGCCGAGGCCAGAAGTTGAGGGAACTGCTGCATCCGTGAGCTCTTCTGAAGAATCTTCCAAGAAGAGTGGCCCGATGTCTTCAACATCCAGTCCAAGGAGCTCAACTGCAAACTCAAAGTCCTCGTCCTCAAGTCCGACGACATCAATCTCAGGATCATCATCCTCCTCTTCAGGTAGCAAATACCCGTACCTGTCCATAATAAGCTCAAAAGCAGCTTCAAAAGCATTATTATCAAAAGGTTCAGCGTCACGAAAAGCAGGGTCAGCGTGAGGGAAAGCAGGGTCAGCAAAAGCATAAGGAGCAGCGACAGGAACAGCGTAGGGAACAGCGTAGTAAACAGGGTAGTAAACAGGGTAGTAAACAGGAAGAAGAACATAGCCTTGTTGTTGTCCCTCCATCACAAAGTGTGGTGGTGGGAACTGCAGCTCACCCTCAGCCTCCTGAAGCCCGTCCACATGATCCGCACCAACGCCAACCTCTTCCTCCTCGTCCTCGTAATCAGGAAGGACCGGGTCGTCGGGCATAAGGGCGGCATCAGGGCGGACTGAGGTAGGAAGAAAAACATTTATTTAAAAAAAGTCACATCCACAAGCCACCAACTAACACAAAGCCACCGCTAGTCTGCTTCAAAAGGCAACTATTTCAGTATTTATCAGGAGCAAATTATGAAAATGCTATTTCCATGTGAGACCATAGCCACGGTCCAAACTTATTCTATAGAGAAAGGCCAGTGTGCACATTATCACCAGCCGAGCACTTTTAAAAAAGGCTCTTACATTTGGAACTGGATTCAGAAAACGTCATTCACATACACTAATACAATCAGACAACATTTGCCCAAAATATTTTCCACTCCTTCATAGTGTATATGCAACCTTGTACTGTAAGAGATGTGTTGGTAAAAGCTTTTGTCCTCCATTGTACCATGCTGTACACACTGCAAAATACTACACACAAATACTCCATCATGCTCTAATAGCATCTGTTTCTTCACTTAAAGAACATATTGACTGGGGTGCTGTGCAATAAACACATGTTAAATTGTGATGAATGTATCCAAATCATATCCATTCGTTATCGTTTGTTTAAAGAGCACAGTAGCAGTAATGAAGGGCTAAAGAGCTAAAGTGATGTGGAGTTGTATTCAGTCAGATTTAGTTATTTGGCATGCAGTACTTCTGTCTACTTGGTGAGGGAAGAATGGATCAGTTTAACCCTTGTTTGCACAACACAATTCTACATAACAACCCTGTTCACATTGTATAGCCATAATAAAAGTCAGACTACTATATTATAAGTCAGAACAAAGCATGTTGCATCATAGTTTGGACCTTGTGGTTTTTCTGACTCTATTCAGTGAGAGATGACACTGCCTCCAATACCATCTAAAGTTTCTAATAAACTGTGAAAAACACTGCAATGAAGCCAAAAGGTTTGATGCGCAGAGACCCGTGTGCGCAATTACGCACGCAATTGCACACGCCAAAACGTGGGTCCCTGCCGTTAATTCAGGCGCTAGTAACAACATGGTTTCTGCAAAATATCCACAATGAAATATGTACGTCTTGGCACCTCAAACTAATTTATTTTATTTAGTCCGCTGCATGACAAACCACTTTACAGATAAAACTACATGAACCACAAATCACAATGTGATTTGTGGTTCATGTAGTTTCAAGTCACTAACATGTAGTCACTGACATGACTGACAGATGACTGAATGCTTTGGTTTTTAGGTCCATTAACTGTCAGACATTTACGTTCACTGACGTTAACGCTACATCTCTTTCATTCAGGTTCATAACAATATTGATCCGTTGGTGCATTTTAATGAATATCTTGAAGCTAGCTCTCAAATGCTCCTTCTTTTAGTTATATCGTTGCCATGGTGCTAGGAAGGTTCTATTTCTCAAAATGGTGGAGGCGCCATTTTGTTTCTGAGATTTTCAACACAAAAATCGACGATTTGATCCCCTCAAACAAAAATAACGGTGTTTTCATGTCCCTACACATGTGTTAACACATTCCACACCTATTTCGAAGAAGAAAGTCCAGTCTTAACATATAATTATTGTTTTACACCAGAAACTGTGAGTGGCCTCAAAATCTGAGTTTTTGTAATTAGCTAGCTTACAATTCTGAACATTCTTTAGCTTAATATTCAACAATTTAACGTAATTAAACGCACATTTTGTACTGAAATGACCTTTTATGGATTCAAGGAACATTAATAAACACATTTGGCATGAAATTAAAAAAAAAAAAAAAAAAAAAAAAAAAATCTTTACCTGTAGGTCTGAAGATGCACACTGGTCTGCACGCCGGGGGTCCACTGGAAGCCATTGTATCCAACAGGTATTGTTTGCTGTAGGTATTCAACTCAGTTCTCCAACAGTTTGTTTTCGAGGTGATCAGATCTCTGAGAGCTCAATCTTTTAGGTGCTGCAGGTAAACTTGTTAGGTTCAAGTGCAACTCAGAAAGGCCGTTTTTCGATGACGTCACTATTATGTGGCCACGCCCCCTGCACTAACGCAGGCATGCGTGTGTGAGAGAGATTTTATTTTATAGTAAATTGTGTAAATGTAAATAGTTTGGACTGTGTGTGTCTGTGTTTACAATAGGTGTTTCCATAAATCCGTGATGTGTGTGATGATCTGTGATGATACAGCCAGGAAAAGGATTTGTGCGCCACTTTCAGTCCGCAAACTATGAACGGTATTCCTGGCTGACAGGGCCGGAGAGGAGATGCAAATTGTATTGCTGGGAATGCTTGTTATTTGCGACTGAACGTCTTGGTGTATGGAGCCCTGCTGGATTTGGTAACCTGAGCTTATATTTACCACAATTTAAGCTTCTGCATTTTCCAAATGCACCAGTATTATTGTTCGGTTTGTAAGCCTTGCACCGAACGGTTTAAAACGAATACGTGATGTTACACCCCTAGAAACAAATAACCGTAGCTGTGGCGCCATCATGAGGTTATTAGGTGGTAAGACAGCAGTGAAGGCCCAGGTATAAAATGCACGGCCCGCCACTGAGAACAACCCAATAAGTGATCTTTAATTACACTTTTCAATTAGGTTTAAAGCATACATTGCTGCAGTTTAACATCAGCCAAATACCATTCATTATTACAACGCTATTGAAAGACAAATACAATTGAGTAAGAACCGGAAGTGGCATCATAAGATGAATAACTTCACTGCAATACAGTTTAAATACCAGAAACACTTCGCTAATCCAGTTAACCATGTTTGTACTCCAACACGTATTTTGGTAACGTGATATGTTGCAGCAAAGTGCTGTCCCGTTCATATTTCCACCATCTCAAGCCCTCAGTCTCTCACACTCAACCACTTACCAGGTGACGTCAGTAAGTCCTTGGGGGTTCAGGGTTTGAGGGTTTAGGGGGGATATTGGGATTTGGCTAGCCCTCCCTGACTGTAACAGGCTCGTTGTTTGTTCTGCTCTGTCAGCAATTCAATGAGCTGCCTGATATTTTACAGGTCTTTATATGGTATGTTCTTGCATAGCCTTTTTTACAATGCCACATAAATAATTCTGGTGTTGAATAGTCTAATTCGTTTCATTTTTGTTTTGTCTAATAGTGATTGTTTTTTAATTTGCATCTAAACATAATAACAACCTAACCACCGGGAACCTGCAGATGGCGCTGATGTCCTGATAACCGACTGTAAAGGCTCACCATGCATGTCTGAAATATGGGTTAAAAATCACAATCTATTCAGTCATTTATTAATAATGACTTCTCTGTCTCAGCATCCTCACTGTGAAGCTTTGGCTGCTTGTCTATAGTATACTTTATTTTATTCCTGTTCTTCGTCTGCTGCATCTTCCCATTGTACGATGACCTCTACAAAGTAAACAGTCTGTTGAGTTCAGCAGCACGGGTGGGGTCATTTAGAGTCAGCGTGTGAGGAAAAGTGGGTCACGTGAAAGTGCAAAAAAATCCTTTAGCCTTTAGCATGTAATGGTGGTATTGTTCAGCACAGAAATATATCATTGTATGCTTAAATGAAAAGAAAAAATAGTTTGATTAGAGTCAATGATCAGTCGAAAAGTAGTTTTAAATGATGACCAAATTAGCAATTAACAATTGAGACATTTTACCTTATGAAGCTGCAGACACCTTTGAGGAAAAGGCAATTACTTGACTGTGAATGTAATGTGTAATGTAATGTCAGACATGTAGAATAGATCTGTGTGTGCTGGTTCCAGCTGTTTTAGATGCACCTTGCAATGACAGTGGAAGACTTGCTGCAAATAAACATAGCGTGTATTACAAACAATTACAATTATTACAGTTGGCCAGTCTCTTTATTCTTCTGTTTTAGAAGAGTCAGTTTCCTGTAAAATCGTGAGATTAGAAATTAGATGATTGTAAAGTAGGACTGAGATTCTTAAAAGTCTGTATGTTTTTTTCAATTTTTTTAACTCTTTCCCACTGACTTGGGACATTATTGTTGTATTGATAAGTTGAAGGTTAGCAATTACTAGAAGCTCAACAACTACCTGCATAACTACAAATAAAATCAAATAATCGTTATGCTTTATTTGCCCTATAAAACTCTATCATACTGCTTACCCTGATTCAAAAATTCATATTTGAACATCTGCCAAAAAGGCAAATAGATATCAAAGATATTAAACAGTCAAGACGGTTCACTGCACATGACATCCTGATTATGGATCTAAGATACAGTGTACATCGATATCGTTAGTCGTAAGGTCCTTTCAGGGGACCCAAACCTGAATGAGCTCTAAAGAGTCTCAGTATTGAACCTGCCCCACATGTAAGGATAACCAGGCAGACTTGGTTGGCCATTTAAAGTAACATTTATTTTATTTTATTCTGTACTTGAGAGAGGTGGATATGAATGGCATCTACATACAAATACAAAATTAAATTAGTCCAGAGTCATCCAAGAGCCCTTTCATACAATGGAACTCGTTGAAAGAAAATTAAGAAAAATAAAAAGCCACAGCGGTGGCAGTTATCACCTGACGAGCCACTAATGATGTTTGAGAATATCATACTGGCAGTGGGGGTCCGGTTATTCCCTGAAGTGTTCCCAGCCTCTTATTTCTGAGAAGAGGGCGTCTCCGGGGCAGGAGGTGTAGTTCACCGCCTGTCTGTGGCCGTGGATGGTGAAGTTGGCAGCCAACCATCCTCCATCTACTGCACATTGGACTAGACGATGGCGCAGCAGGTCCATGGTATGGCGAGACGGCAGGGTGGCAGTGTAGTTACCGATGATTGACACGCCGTACCCGATGGAATTGTGCCCTCTGGTGTGTGTGCCAAGGTGTTTCCAACCTCTGCCTTCATAGACGTAGCCATCAGAGCCGACCACAAAGCTGCGGGCCACAAAGATGCAAAAGTTGGTTGATGTTAAGACGCAAATAGTGCCAGATATTTTGTGATATGTGCAGATCATACATGAAAACAGCAGCATTACTGGAAAAATACATTAAATGGAAGTAATAAATGGAAGTACTTTAACTACTTAAAGGAATAGTTCCAAATTTAGATTTTCATTCCCAGTTAATCAATACCATGCTCATATCTGTGCATAAATTATGGAGCTGGAGACAGGGGGTGATTAGACTAGCCTAGCATAAAGACTGGAAGCAGAGCGAAACAGTTAGCCTGGTTGTAAAAAATGTAAAATCTACGATACCAGCACTTCTAAAGCTCCCCAATTATCAAATTATATCTCATTTGTTTTTAATCCGTACAACAGCCACACTTTGTGGTTTCAGAGGGAGTAACATATTGTAAAGAAACAATATCTTTAAGAACAACAGATCATCCATCAACCCAGCACCTAAATCCCTGTAAAACCACAATCTGTCTTTGTTTGTGTACAGATTAAACAAACAAGATACAACGTGTTAATTACTGACCTATTGGTGGGCTGTTAGGCTGATTTTTAATCTTTGGACTGAGCCAGGCCTGCTGTTTTCCACAGTTTATAGTCTTTATGCTAAGCTAGGCTAATCACTGCCAGTCTCAAGAGGTATCAAATTTCTAATCTAACTCTCAGCAAATAAATAAAAAAATAAGCGTATACTTCCAAGATGTCAGGGTTGGTTACCTGTATCCTATGTCGGCCCAACCACGATGTTCCTGGTGGAAACGCTGCATGGCTCTCATGTCGCGAGAGCAGTTTGGGAAGGATAAACAGGGCGAGGATGGCTGATAGGTGTGGTGAACATAGAGAAATTGAAGGGGCAGTGACAGTGGGATAGGTGTACCCTGGTGGGCTTTTGCCCCCCACTGACAGCGAGGGATGATTTGAGGGCAGTCTGGCGACAGGAGGAGAGAGGATGAGGGTTAGGATACTAAAACCACTACAGATTTGGCCGTCATAACCACAAGCTTGTATTTAACACTCAAAACTAGGGATCCAAGACTAGAGTCGACTCTAGAGCCTAACCTTAACCTAACCTAATCTTTTTTGATCATTTCATAGCTCACCCCAGTACTTGTGTACAAATGCCTGTAGTCCATCCTTCACCGCCTTCCCCACAGCCGTGTCCAGAGCAAACCATTCTGTCTTCTCCAACTTCCAGACTAATGTTAGTGTCTCCATCACCTGGCTGTGAAGATCGAGTGGCTCCAGAATGGATCGAGAGATCTCCCTTCGCCTCGGGCTGACGTGGCTGGTCACAGCATCGAGACCCTGCCCCTCACGCAGAATAAAACTATAGTATCCTTTCAAAACTTCACTGAGGGCCTGCGGCTCCTCAGATGCAGGCAGGTTGCTGAGGTCCATGCCCAGTATAGCTCCGTCCATGCCCCCATTAATAACTGCATCAGTGGCCAGTGTGGCAGGCCGATACAGCTTGAACAATTTAGGGCGTTCCGTGTTGTCCCAGCACCCTTTAGGCCCCAGGCGAAAAGATGGCGGGAAGTCCTTGAGGCTGAGGAAGGACAATCCCAGCGTCCTGCCTAAAGTGAGAGGGAAGATCCCAACAGCTGGCGTCCCCTCTATTTTGGCTTTCAATCCAGATTCGATTCCTCGCAGTAAGGGTGCAAGGGCTACCGTGGTGCCATCTGGAGCGAGAACCACCCCTCGTTCCTCTCCGTAATCTGTCACGATGTGGTGGATGGCCTTGTCAAAGAAGCTAAAGGATGAGGCATTGAGAATGGCTGTCTCCAAGACCTCAGCATCACTGAGATTATACGAGACTCCCAAATAATGGATGGTCATTTCGTCATCGTGGCCTGAGGTCCTCCGCAGGGCCCGGACTAGAGCCAGGGGGGACAGACCAGGGTTGGAGTCTTCCACCTGCTCCACAGCTCGGATGAAGCTGTCCATGTTACGCAGGTGGGCACCTGAGAGCAATGCAAATGAGGAACAAATGAAGTTGAGTAAGAAGATTGCAGTGAATGAACTCTGATGTTTGATTAAGGTTCAAACCAACGTCGTTAGGTTTAGGGAAAGATCACGATTCGATTGGAAATAAGTTTGAGTTCAGGTTAGGAAAACATTTTGGTTTGGCATAAAACGACCCTTGTCACAGTCTCAGAAGGACATAAGCATAGAAATAGAATAGGAGGAGAAAGGACATGCTCATTCAAATCAAAGTAGCAGGATGGTCAGAGAGGTGGACATTTTTAACCTGTACCGTCGCCATTGCAACATTTGTAGCGGGCTAACTGTTGTATAAACTAAACCGACTTACGTCAAGTCACAGAATCACAAGGAGAAGTTTTGCAGACTAAAACGAGCAGTGTAGAAATATATTTTTTATATGATTTGGTATTTATACGGGGTGGATATAGACATTTGTTAATATCTGTGTGTGTGTTGAGTGAATCTGTAAAATGGGTGGATAATTTATATTCACAAAATTCAAAAGAAGAGGAAGCTTTTTTAAAAAAAGGTGCTTTCTTGAATAAAGAAAGCACTAATTCAGGGAATTAGTGAACCACAACATGACAGGTCGTTTAGAAAGTAAATACTCCTTGTCAGCATACCAAAAAATAAACTATGTAGCCTAATGAAGATTATAAGTCAAGATAACACAAATATTGACGTATTTAGAACAACTGAACTTACCTGTCGGCCTGCTATAGACAGTGGAGAAGTAGCATAAAGCCAGAACAAAAAACGACAGCCCAAACAAAGTCATGTTGCATCTCCTGCTTGTTGCTGAATCAGGGTTTCTCCAGACAATATGAACAAAAGACAACCTCAACAGGCAAGTAAACTGAAAAGCACAGTTGTGCTCCCAACAACTTCTGAGAGGAGTTGTGTAATTGTATTTGTGTAGGTGTACACATGACTAATAGGAAAAAGTACCCTTTGTACACTGATGGCTCCAATTATTGATTCCGCCTACAGTAAGTCGAAGTGTGTCATCAGCAAAACAAAGTCTTGACCCCACAGTTATGTTTGTTAGTTACAAATAAGAGCTTTTTCTTATTATATTGTGTTGTGTCACTCGTCACTGTCACGCGGCCTTGGAGAGCTTCTTTTGTAAACAGTGCATCATTCAATAAACAGACTGTGAAAGATAATGCAGATTTTATGGTTAATGTTTAGCATCGCATGCCATGTGAGCGTCTGTTGTGCACTCACCAGGATCAGGAAACATTTTAATCACAAATACATGCCTTGTTGTACTTGATACATAAAGGGCCGAAGAATTATGAAGGTTAGTATAGTTCAAGATGTTAAGTCATTAAACAATTTAAAATCAAAACATTAAATATGAACCCACAAAGATATATCTGATCTCTGCTAGTAAAGAAATATAGGTATTGAATATAGGAATGAAAACTGAGATGAATGCTAAAAATATAAATGTTCTGGGTACGTCAATATTATGATAGACTGACAAAGAAAATCAGTTAAAAATCATATTTTTTAATGTCGAAATGATGAGATACTAAACAAAAGACAAGAAAAAAAATGACCTACTTATTATCTCATAATGTCACATAATTGTAACCTACTGGGATAAAATTGTACTTACAATCTAGTCAAAGTATTTATATAAAAAGCCACAACTTGTGTGTTTGGAGCATGGATGTTCCTGTAATACATCCAATGCATCATCAGTGGTGTCACGTGACATTGTGACGCCACACTCGCAACAGGAAGTAATGAAAACAACAACAAAAGCAGATGAAGTCGGCTGATGATGTCCATACTGACTGTAGTTGGGGTGTCTTTTTGTAAAAAGCTGAAAGGAAGACGTAAGTTTAAAGGCTAATCTTCCCAAATGTTATTTTGGTGTTCACTGTGCAGTTTGGTTTAGTAAGAGTAGTAAAAGCAGTAACAACACAGTGTAGAAATGCTCTGCTACTAGTAAAAGTCCAAAGCATCAAATTAAAATAGCTTACCAAAAGTAAAGGTAGTCTACAAATTATGCAGAATCATTTCAGAATAATATATATTATATAATTAGTAATGCATTCATGTTTAGGCTACACTACTGTAATGTCACACCCGGTAAAGGTGTGGCTAATTTTAAAAACAGTATGCTATATAGTGCTGGGTAAATGAAGATAAACTAATATATATTTATTAGTTGATTTTATATTTTGTGTTGATGATCGGAAACTGAAAAGTAACTAAAGCTGTCAAATAAATGTAATGGAGTAAAGACTACAATATGCGTCTCCAAAATGAGTAGAATTAGAAAGTTGCATAAAATGGAAATATGTAAGTTAAAGTATTAGTAACTCAAAGTTGTACCAAAGTTGTCCCCTCACTCATCTAATCAATTAATGAAACTAATTACATCAGCTCTAAAGTCGAACATACTGCATATCGTGTTGAATGTGTCCGTGTGTGAATGTCTATTTATTTATCTGGAACAGTTGATTAATCTTAAAAGGGAGGTTCTTGTTTTTTTCCACTGATGCCAACAATTTCCGAACCACACAGCTGATGGAAAATCGACCACATCCCCATGTTACCATATTAGTGAGATAAAACCTGTGACTGCATCTGTATTGACAGGCTGCAGCCCTCTCGGTCTGTCTGTATTTGTAATGTGGAATCACCACAACACAAATGCATCACAGAAGCGGGGCAGCTTTACTTGTGCCACACGTTAAGCCTAGCTGTAATTAGAGCATTATGTGTTTTTATGCAAATATTTATACTTGTGTTTTGCTCTAATAAAATGGAAATAAATACATGAAAGTACGTTTTTTTATGTTTTTTGTCGATCTCTGGAAGTAACGTTTCCATTTTATGTTTTCAGAAATCAGGTGTTTTACAGTTCTCAATGCTACAACTGGAAAGTTAAATGAGAAGAAAAAGAGAAGAAGAATAGAGACTTCTCACTGATGGCAAGGTATTAGACTAATATCAAAGTTAGAGTCAGTTGCAAGATATGGCCTATTTTTGCATTTACCCTTAAAAAACACTACAGTTAGTAGATAATGAAAAGTGAGAATATTTTTTGATGTATCTAAGTATGTTAAGCGATTAGAGAGTGACCAGACAAAGAAACCACCTGTATAATGTAGTGTAATCCAACTCAACAATGATGTAATGACTGCTATCTGCATTAAACTTGTTTTAAACTGCAGTCTGTGAGTTAACATTATAGCTTTTGAAAATATTTCACGTTTCTTCTGTATCATCTCAAGTACATTAAATAATAAATAAGCCTCTGCAAAGGTTGCTTTCACATGGTTTATTTTTATTTTTGCATCTGGATGTACATTATACACAGTAAATACATATTGAGATAGACAATCATATTTGTTTAAGAAGAATAATCAAAACCTGGTGATATAAAAATGATTAATTGTGTTATGTCAGACTCATGACCCCTGAGTTATGATCAACATGTATAATGTTGAGTAAGTACGTCATGTACCAGATTTGATAAACACTTTGTTGGTGTATTTGGGAGCGGGCTTACATCACGCCACACAACACAACGGTGGGTATTTGTAAGGGTGTGTCACTTTACAAACTATAAATGAAGTTGTTAGGTAGTCATGCCTTGCGCGAGGATGCACCGCGCCGACCAAAAATATGCCGTAACTCAGCAGAGCTATGTGGTCACGTGGTGTCGGTCACATGACCCGAGAGAGAGGAAGCGCGCAGTTCTGCCCCGGCTGCTGTTTCAGGGCAGCTGTGAGAGCAGTTATTGGTACAGTGGAAACACGGGCTACTCCGAGCTTTAGCTATATCATTCATCTATTTATTGTTGTTTTTAAACGGATAACTACATGGCTGCGACAAAACCCGAGGACTCATCAGGTAATGTGGTGCCGACGTTTAACTTTTATATTTAACTCAGCCGTTAGTCACGACTCATTTGTCTTTTCACTGACAGAGCTCGTTGTGCTTATTAATACGTAGCTTTGTTGCTTCTCTCCGGTTCATAAACGAGTTTTAGAGCTACGTTGTGGCGTCTCAATTGTTGTTGTTGTTGTTGAGACATTCACAACAATGAGGCCCCCTCAGCCGTGGGGGTATTTCTGCTCTGGCATCTTCTGGGCAGCTGAGACACTCAAGTCATTTTCTTCAGGTGTGTTTTTCCCCAAACAGTCAACATCAGGTCTTTGCTGCGATGAATCTGTATGTCTATAATCCTCGTTGACAAAGTGGGATTTTCCCTCTCTACTCAAATCGTGTCTTCATTTACAGAAGGCACCATTTAAGCAGAGATGTAACTGGAATTACAATAACAGCTGATCATCCTTTTGACGATCATACAGCAGTGAACACTAAAGAATACCAGTCAGAGATGTTAGGTATTGTTCTTTTCTCCTTTCGAGTTGGTCATTTTATGAAACACTTGGAGTTCACCCTCAACTACAAGTGTTGGATTTTAATTGTTTGTCTAACGGGACAGAATAGAAAGAGACTAGTGCTACATTAGCGATTATCCATTAGTCGATCGACAGAACATGTAATGATTTTGACAATCAATTAATGGTCCGATAGTACAGATAAGAATGCACCTTTAAATTGAATCTGCCGACTTAACACAAGTACTGATGTGGAATAGTACTATACACAGGGTGTATCAGAGGTTGTAGTGACTGATGGTGTTCTTGGTCTAAAACACACTGTTGGTATTCAGACCCAGATGCTGCAACACAGCCACCACCACCATTTCCCCCCCTTTCAGCAAAGCCACATCTAAACAGTCGGACTCCTTCATGCATAATAATGGTCCCGACACCGTTTTATAAGCCTGTCTCACGCGTGGCTGACTCAGCAGTTTTTTTTTTTTTTGGGAGATTGTTGATGCGGGTTGGGGGAAGTACGCCTCCACAGATTGCAGTGTTCCTCTGTGCTGTGAAGGATTTCGTTCCGAAAAAGTATCAGACCTAACCTACAAAGAACACAGAGCTAGGTATGCTTCCTTTAACTCTGGTACAAGTGGAAGTTGTGGACTCTCGGCCTGTTGGTGACCTCTTGCTGCCAGATCTGAGTTTAGTTTAAAGGTGTTGACAGATATTTTCACCGATTTATTCAGCTTGTGTCAAATCTGGTGCCACGGTCGGGTTTCGTCAGATTGCGATCTGCACTCCCATTGTCTGCATGATGTGTTACAAGTTATTTCCTAAGGTGAGCCGTGCGCAGTGAGCATTTCAGTCAGACTTAGCTCTCAGACGTCAAGCAAAAAACAAGGTAAAGTATTGCATCAATGGCCTCCTAGTTTCAAAGATCTTTAATACTATATAACTATATTTTGTGGCTCCGGAGGGAGCAGCGCGAAATCTGATAAATCGCCTCAAGTGATGTCACGCGAGTCAGCGTCGGCCGGGTCTGAAGACTACAAGATTGAAAGTCTGTTGAATTACGAAGAAGTGCTCTTACCACACCTCTGTAGCTGCTCGAGCCTACATTAGCAGCTATTAGCATAACATACCAGAATTCCAGTCCGAGCTGTCGCTGGTCCAGTTGCATTGTGGGTGATGTAGGCACCTGGTTTTGACAAGGAAGAATGCATTAAACAAAAAACAGCATATGTTTTGTTCTGCTGCATCAAATTTTGATCCTTTATTCACAACTGTCCATCGTGAGTCTGACAACGTTATCCGAGTGCAATGCTAAATGAGTGAGGTTCTCTTTGAAGCCAGTTTGGAGATGAAAAGTCTGCATTTTGCCAACTACTAATATCCCTGTTCCTTCTTTGTTTTTAGAAATATCAACAAATTCAAAACATAGGATTGGAACCTGCGATCGCTCCCAAATAGACTGACTGGTCTGTTAATACACGCTAGAAGCACTAGAAGAAAAGCTAAAACAGTAATTAATGTGTTCTTATGCCCTTAAATGTTTGTTTGCTTCAGTGAGAGCCCAGTGAAGCACAACAACAGTCCCATGTTTCAGATCCCAAACAGAAAGTGCTCATAGCACCTTTATTAGTATCAGAGAACATAGATTACTCGGATGTATTATTATGTGTTATAGTTTGATTGCGGCGCCACAGAAAAAAAAAAATGTGTGACAAGCGTTTGGAGTTGTGCCAGTCCCAAATTCTTCTTAGCGTTGTTGAACTCTGCTCTTGTTCACGGTTAGTGCTGACTAATATTAAACACCAGTGGTTTGTTTGTCCTGTTTCACTTCTCATTCCCATTAGAAAGCTCTGCTATGCTGGCGGTTTGCTCTGCTGACTTATTGCGCCTGTTGGGTTTGGATTCATCCCGACCAAGCAGTTTATCTGGCCGAGCACGTGCTGGCGCTGTCTGCCCAACAAGTCATTTCCTGAATGTAATAAAGTGAATCAACTTATGTGACCTGATTCTTCCTCTTTTTCTTCAGAGCAGCCAGAGCCAGCAAGCTAAAAGCATGTGACAAGTATTAGGCGTGATTAGCCTACTTTCTGATTTGTGGCTTTCCCACGATATCGTCGGTTCCTACAAAGACGACCAGCGTTGTGTCCGACCACAAACTGTCTGCTCTCTTTAGTCGGGTCCGATGTTTTCATCTATTAAACCTTATTTAATCAGGTAGTCTCATTGAGAGTGAGATCTCATTTTCAAGAAAGACCTGAGAACATTTATAGTCCGACAGCCAGCATTCAAAAACAACACACATAAGGCCAGACGAACACAATTGACGAAGAAGGTGTGCCTCCTCTCCAAAGTCAATGAGCAGTGCTTCAATTAGTCATTAACACTCTAAATACAAGTCCCTGTACTTTGGAGGACAACCCTTTGTTTCCATTAGTCCTTCAGAGTTGATGGGGTTAAATCCCATGTGTAGCCTCGTTGAGCACATGCTCAAAGAGCCGGAGGGGACAGAGACGAATAAATCCACACATTTTAAGACAAAGACAACTTGTCAGACGGCGGTGGAAGCCGAAGACAGACTGTTCACGCTCGGGCACACGTGTGGTGCTGACAGGATGCTGTCAGGGAGTAGTCACTGAGTGAAAGTCTGGCATGAACACAATGGGATTTATTGCCAAGTAGGATAACATACAAGGAATTTTTCTTTGTGTTTTCTGCTTACAATAAATAATCTCAACAATATGCAATAGACATATTAAGGTACTAAAGATAATATAATCAAGTACTGGCCCAATTCACGTGATTGGTGCAGTTCTTATAGTCACAACTGCACAATCAGTCCTGGTGCTCGGCAAGCGCTTTATTGCCGTGGACATTTGATTTAAAATGGGATAGTGTTCCAGTCTCGTGACCTCGCTCCCTTTATTCATGCCTCATGTTTTACAGCAGACGTAGCGCCACTTCTAATAAAAACAAACACCAGCTCCACTGACATGGCGAAACACGACTAAAGCCATGCTAGCCACTCTTAGGCCCTGTCCACACTACTCCGTATTTGCTACGTTTACACTGAGCGGCCACACTGCGCCGGAGTTTTGGAGCACCCTTGGTGGTATTTGAGAACTCCGGGGTTGCGTTTGCGTGTGGAGGGTCGGATACGGATGTGCTTAGAAAAAATTATGCCCACACCCGTGTTCGCTACTGGATTGGTTATTGGCAACCATGACGTCTCCGTCCCTGATTCGTCACACTCACTATCATGTGACCCGTACCCGGAAGAAAACAAACTGGGCTACCAGCGATTCATTTCAACATGGATAACTAATTGCAAGCGTTGCTGCTAGCACAACAGCTACATTATGTTGCTGCTAGCACAACAGCTAGCAGCAGCTAGCAGCTGTTGTGCAGTAAAAGTCTGCATTTCTGTGGAGGAAGCAGCTGTTATTGGAGTGATTAGCGAGCGGCGTGACCGGCATCAGCCCTATGGAGCAGCTCGTTGTTTTTAGATTCTAATGAGAAGACACTCTGCACTAACGTTTTACTTCTTCCGTTTGGTAGCCTTGAGAGATCTTAGTCTGTAAGTATGTCTTTATGAAGCATGAAAAGATGTACGTAGATATATTCTATTCGCGTGTTTAGTATAACATTTGTGTTGTATTAAATGCTAATCGCGGTTAGCATTTCTCCATTGGCGGTAATGTTAAAAT